TATTCGTGTCTAACAGAATAAACAACAAAAATAAAAATTATTTTATAGGTAGTGTATATGTCGTATTATCGAAAAAAGTTGTTTAGTTGGCTTGGAAATTACGATTATTATATATTTACCATTATATTTTACATACGAACTGACAGCGATCTTCATTTCCAAGCCAACTCCGATGCTGTTCTTTGTTTAATCATATAGATATATATGTTAATCATATAAACATATATATTAAATTGTTTAATGATAAAAAGTCCGTATTATTAACGTACTGTACCCAAAAATCAGTAAATCAACGAATTAATCGGTAGTTCTGGCAACACTGTCTCCGACAACCACTCAATCTATCGACTGAAAGCAGAACTATGGTTTGGTATGGTACAGTAAGTATTCTTTATTCCCTGTGCTGTAAACGATCATCCCGCAGCGGTGCAGAGCTAAACCAGCTAAACTAAATCTCGGACAGACTAACGGAAACGCCACCTACATCTCGGACAGGTTTTGTGCCACGAAATTGCCCATAATCTTCCTAGAAGCCAATAAAAATGATCTCCTAATAATGACAAAATAACAGCAACAAATAATACAATAGTTTTTGGTAAACATCAGTAAATCATTTTTAAGCTCTGTTTTTACCCTGTATGATTTTTACTATTTTATGCTGTTATTAATATTTTCCAATTTTAAAGATTATCCATTTTGGTTTAAAAACAAAAAATCACTATTATCCACTATATTTGATAAATTTTTAAATACTTCTATATCATAACATAATAAATTATGCATTCTTTAAGTAAATAAAATTTAGATTATTAGTTTAGATTTCTTGCTATTGACATAAAACTGTTAAAGTCTAAATATCTCTGATTAATTGTTCATAGATGTTGAAAGTTTAGTAATATTAATTTGATTCAGTAACGTGCTACGGAAAGGGCGAATATAAATTTCGTGCTTCTTTAATTGAAATAGCAAAAAGTAACAATGACGTTAATCAAAATCATTACTAACCATCTATTAAAGAATGAAAGCGAAATGATATTACCATAGGCTTTTGACTTTAGGAACTATTTTTTTTTGGAAAAAATTTAACTATATTTTTGGAAATTTGGAAAAGTATAATAAAAGGGATTTTAGACCATTTTAGAACAAGCAAAAACTTTTACGAAGAAAGCGTTTTTTCAAAAATTTAATAATAAAAAAGTGTTTGCTCTTGTAAAGACAAGCCGAAACATACTGTACATTTTTTAGGTGTTAAACAATATAAATTATTCAGATAGATGGCCATCATAATAGGATGTGGACAAAGTTCCATAAATAGCGTATATCTTCGTTAAGTGCTTAGTAATATTTGATACCAAATCAATATTTGCATCCAAAACCAGTGGACATTACATTACGTACTCCGCGCCGACCAGTAAGTTGATATGTTAGTTCTCGTCAAATACTGCCATGATAAATATTAACCGAACAACTCACAACAATAAGTAAACAAAGGAAAATAGAAAAATAGAATTTTCATTTTTCAGTTGTGAAAATTTTGAGGTGTACTATCTTTTTAAAATATTTTCTACCACTTGGACTATTAATTTGCCTAATGTATATAAAATTAGCTCTAATTCATACCAATTAAATATTTAGTCACGTAATTAAACTTCACCGGCACAGCGTTGCTCACTTTTACATATTTTCTTTTTATCAAAATATTCTAGGAAACAGAAATAAATTAATTATAAATAAATAAACAGTTATTATTTACATCAACAAAACTTAGCTCCTTAACAGCACTTACAAGGACATAAATGACCATTACTACCGCTCTACCGTTCAAAATATTCTGTACACAGTTGACGATTGATAAGGTTGGGATGAGTTTTTTGCAGCGCCTATTAAGCTATCTTATACAGATTGTTGGACGGTTAAAAAACAACTGGACGGTTACTTATTGGGAAACAGAACGGCAACACTGCCTACATTCCAAATGAGTACTAAGCTAAGCTGCCGACTCTTCCCGTCGCGTCGCGTCGTCTCTCGACGAGCGGGCCGAGGTTGCCATATTTCAACCGTAAAGCTCTTGCCCCGAGTAATAAAAAAATTAACAACCTGAATACTTAGTTACAGCCCAGCGCCGAATATGTCCAGTTGACAACAACGAATTTAAAAATCGCGCCTTCGATTACGTATCTAAAAATTTAATTGATACCGCTTATATACAGGGTGGTCCGAACTGTATTCTGGAAACTTTCTGCAGGCAGCAAATTCTGCAAATAAAAATAAGTATAAATGTTCGTATAGATGTATGTCCAAAAATACTTAGTTTCGGAGATACAGGGTGTAGAAGTTTCATTTTTATTTTGATTTTTTCCAAATAATTTCTGCAGTAACGTCAATATTTGGATTAAAATAGGTGTCTGGGAGTTTTTTGACATGAGAAATTTGATTTTGATGTCAATATGACTCCTACTAGTAGAGGGCGCCACCTACATATTTTTAACTGGTTTGAAGAGTAACAACTGTTCGTCCGTACTTGTATAAAATTACTGAGCAAAAAAATATACATTTTTTACGTAAAAAGGTCTCTCGGTAAAAATCGCTACGAGTAATGATTTTCGAGATATTTGGAATCGAAATTATTAATACCTGTCATCACTGACTTAATCGAATAACTGAGATCATATATTTGAAATGTTTCTGTACCAAAAGTTCAACAAAAACTGTTTTATCATCATTTTTTTTGCAGAAAAAATATGATTAATTTAAAAAAATAAAATTTCCCAAATTTATTATTTCAGTGAAATATAGTATATCTAACAAAACTTTGGTTGCACGTCATCAATGACACCATGCGTCGTCTTATGGAGTTTTCTGGTGGTCGTATTATGATGTGCAACCAAAGTTTTGTTAAATATACTATAACTATCTACTCAACGTGTTTATTTTTCGTTAATAATGGCATGTATTGACTATTTCCATTCTAAATATCTTGAGAACAGTTGCTCGTAGCAATGCAATTTTTACAAAGAGACATTTTTTACGTAGAAAATCACAGATATGTATATTTTCTCTCGGTAGTTTTATACAGGTACAGACAAAAAGTTATTACGCTTCAAAACAGTTAAAACCCATGTAGGTGGCGTTCTCTACCAGTAGGAGTAATATTGACATCAAAATCAAATTTCCCATATCAAAAAATTCCCAGACACCAATTTTCATCTAAATATTGACGTTACTTCAGAAATTATTTGGAAAAAATCGAAATAAAAATTGTCACCGGGAGGCACGTATAGCCGCCTATACTAAAATATGTTAATATCTCGAAAACTGCGACTTTGACTGATTTTGATGTTATTACAAATTTTGTTGCAAATATTATTCCTAATCTTAATTTGAAAACCGCGTTTCGCTAGCTACTGTAATTTTGGAGTTACGATTTTTTAAAATTTTCAACCCCCTTCCCTACCTCCTTAACAACCCCCCACCACCACCAAAAACTAATGGCCAGATTCTCGGGTGCCGCAGTATTTTTGTGCCAAATTTGATTAAAATCGGTTCAGCGGTTTTTGAGTTATCGTGTTACAGACGGACAGACAGACAGACAGACAGAGAGACAGACAGACAGACACCATGAAAATATTTTGTATTTAGGTCATTTATGACCCAAGTAACTTATTTTGAGTGAAATTAAAAAAACTTTTTTTTTGCCGATCCTAATACCTATTGGTATGGTCGGCTCAAAATGAAATTTCTACACCCTGTATCTCCGAAACTAAGAATTTTAGAATATACATTTATACGAACTTTTTACCTATTTTTATCTGCAGAATATGCTGACGAAGTTTTCGGAATACAATTCGGACAACCCTGTATATTTATGCTTTTTGAGTTCTACATCAAATTATAAATATATGAAATGAACAAAATTCTTACAGCTTTAGTGATTATTAATAAATAATATTTTCTTGCCTTTAGCTGTGTATTTTTTCTAATTTCGAAAAATCGAAAGTAGAGAAAAATTAAAAAAAAATAAAAAGTAAAAAGAAAATTGTTTTGCTTGTCGTAAAGGGGGGAACCAAGCTCCACTCCCACAACCGGTTTCTGGGCCTACCCTTCATCAGGTGGGCTGTCCAGGGGCTGGTTCTCACCGATACGGTAAGCAAAACTTCTTCTATATCTACAGACGATGTCGTAAAGTGTCGGTGAGATATTAGTGCATCTCCCGTCAAAAGATGGTAAAGAGCGTTTTTCGGCCCGCTCAAATATATGAAATGAACAAAATTCTTACAGCTTTAGTGTATATTAATAAATAATATTTTCTTGCCTTTAGCTGTGTATTTTTTCTAATTTCGAAAAATCGAAAGTAGAGAAAAAATTTAAAAAAAATAAAAAGTAAAAAGAAAATTGTTTTGCTTGTCGTAAAGGGTATCGGTGAGAAGGGGTAATTTAATAGGGGTAACTTTTGAGAAACACCCGGTAAGTTTTCTGTCCTTTGGAAAATAATTTAATCTATTCAATTTATCTAATGTTTAGTTATTAAACCTTTGATTATTTACCGAGCTTTTTAATTTAAAAAATCTATTATTAAAATTATTTAAATAGTAAAATGTATTAGACAGAAAAATTCTCAAAGATAATGGCAATTTTTATATATAAAGTAGTCAAAATATAGTATTTAACTTGCAATTAGTGGTCATTATTCACTAGGGCAAATTGTACCTCGCGGCTGCAATGCCTAGGGTCAACGTCAGTCTGGATGAATAATGACTATAATTATTCTAATAATAATATGGTACCCTATTATTTTTTTACAAGAATGTCCAGGAATGAAACTTTCATGGCAAAACTATGGCTATTTTTTTAATAAATCTGTTCAAAGAACATGTAACATTTAAGTTTTTATTTATTTACAAATAGAAATCATAATAACAATATTTTTTATGACAGTTTAATGCTATTTCTTACAAAATTTCTTCTTTCTTTCCAGATGCTTGGTATTGAAGGACTGTCACTTTTCCTATTACTGTGTTATCTCCATATGGCAATATTTACAACCTTCATTCCAGTTTGTCCAAACGAGTGTTTATGTTTATCACAAACACAGGTAGGTATAAATATGTTTAACACTACTTTTAAAATGTTTTATCAATCAACTTTTTAAGTAAAGGTTACAATAATTGTATATCGTGTGGTGCATCGGAACACGGGAGAAGAAAGTCTATGTAAATTTTGAAAAGGTCAAAAATTATCTCCACAGATGATTTTACGCCAAAATTATATTAGACTTTTTTGAAGAGGTATTGAAGTTGTACTTTCGTCTAGAATTTCGTTTTATTTGGAATAGGCGTCTAAAAGTTATTCGCAAAAATCTACCTTCTAATTACTCAAAATTTATAATACGGCCCAGAGAAAGCTACAATTAAAATACCAGCAAAAATACAGGGTGTCCCAGAAATGAGTGCAAATATTTTAACTGGTAGTATAGTTCAACCCCAGAAACACGCCTATGAGGTTTTTTTTGCAAAAAAAAAATGTTGAAAATTTTATATTTTTCTTGACATTTTCCGAAAAATTTTGAAAAACTTTTGAGTGCCACTGTTCACTCTCCGGAAATTCGTTTACCATGCATAGACAGAATCTCGGAGAGAATGCAATGTTGCCACTTCCTACCATACCCACATTCTAAATGTTTATAAATTCAAAGTAATTTTAATGGGCTACAACATAGTGGTAATCATAATCCTAATTTTTGCCTTAAGCATAAGCACAGTCACAATCACAATTTTAATATGCGTTTATACAACATAGTCGCATTCATAACTTGGAATGTAAATACAGCTGATAAAGTAACCCAATTTTCTTATTTTTCTATTTCATAATCATTTTAGAAGTGTATTTTTGTTTAAATTTTATTACTCAGGTTTTTTAAACACGAAAATTCGCAAAATTATTAAAGATAAAAATGAAAAAAAAATAATGCCCCCTAACCGATTTTTGTCGTAATCACAATCAAAAAAGTTAAAAGTTACGAACTTCAAGGTTATTAAATTATGCTTTTGATTACGACTGCGATGTATAAACGGTCGTATCTAAAATAATGGTTTTAACTTTTAAGATTGTGACAAAAATTGTGATTATGATTACGATTATGTTGTATAAACCCGCCATAAGTTTCTATAGAAAAATACGAAAATTAAATTTATTCATATTAGTGGACATTGCTAATACTAATTTTAGGAAAATGCGCAATGCTATAAGTACTTTTTACAGTTGAGTAGGCTGAAAAAATAAATTATAATAGCTTTTTTTTTGCCATATTAGGATTTTTTTTCAATCGTTTCAATCAACAATTATAATCTTTAAATATTAAGTTAGAGCTTACCCTTTTGATGAAAATTGATCAGTGTTTTTATCCAACATATACCATAACACATACACTCCAAATATCTATTAATTTGAAAATTATAAATCTATCACTTGCAAAATATTATTTAAAATATTTCACATAATAATTAAACACTAAAGTGACAAATACAACAAAAAGTGTTAAAAAAACTTGCTTTAATAACTACTTAAAACCTCTACTGAACAAAACAAACAGAAACAACAAAAGAAAATTAATGGTTTTACACCAAAAGTGCCAAAACTTTAAGCGATACACGTACAACATACGTTGATTTTGGTTTGTTTACATTCTTTAGATGATTTTGGGAACCCCCGAGAAACCGTAAATACCGTTAAGAGCACTAGGACCCTCTACCACTCCTGTCTAATACGACTTGCCTTGCTCGCCACAGTGCCGAATGTCCGTTCACAAAAAAAGCTTAATCCGCTATTCTATAGATGTCGCTGGGTTATTGATTTGAGTTTAATTTTGGTATTTGGTTAATAAATAAGATTATTAGTACGTTCGAATATCAGAAATCGTTCTAATAGTATCGAGCTTTTAAAACTCCAGAAAGTTATCGCAGATTGTGTTTAATATGTTCGTTAGTGCATATTTTTGTGTCGCTAATCGGTATCGGTATCGGTAAATCGTGATGGCCTATACAAATCCGAAGAAGGTGGATATGCTTCTAAACTCTACCTAAAGTGTGAATTTTGCATACTTCCTCCTGGCAGGTGAAGGGGCTGCGGAAGCTAAGAGGCTTTATTCCGAAGTGTATTCGAATAGACAGATCACGAATGCTCGAACCTTTTTGAGTATATTGAAAATAAAATAATTTCGGACTTCCATTGTCTTTATTTATTTTGATTAACCCAACATTTCGGTGAGAAGGACCACTTACCGTTATCAAGTGTAAACTCTGTGAGGTGTGAGTATGGTTCAGCATTTGAGGGATTTTGGAAGTTTGGATCCTCAGGTCGGCATTAAAGTTCAAGTGTTGTTAAGAATTGTAATGAAGTTAAAAGTAGTGTTAAAGGCAGTTTTAGGACTGGTAATATGAAAAAAAAGAAAGCTTTGCAATTATATCGGGATATCCTTTTTTAATGTTAGGTAAGTTATTTTTTTCTTTTAATTTAATTTGGGAAATGTGGGAAGTATGGCTACTGGCGATCATGTACTTAGTGTTATGGAATTTTGCAAGTAGTTTTTTAGACTTTCTAGTCGCGGCAACAGCGGGCGGCGAACAAGGCGAGATCCGGAAAATTGCCGATTTCCTCCGACGGCTCTCAAAATGTCGCAATTTATTTTTAAAACTTTCAAAGTTAAATAACTCGGTTATTTTCAATTTATTTTAAAAATGGTAAAGAGAAAATATGTTTCTTTTGACCAGATCTACAACCCCTTAAAATATTTGCACTCATTTCTGGGACACCCTGTATAATTTTGTCATTGTCAAGTTTGATGTTTTTTTTATTTTTTTTTTGTTATAAATATTAAATTGTTTACATAATCCCCCATTCACAGCCTAATATCCCAAATGATTGTAAAATTCACGTCTCACAATACGAAGCTGTCAAGGGGAGAATCTTTAGAATTCTACAGAGATGTCGTTTTCAGTTCATCCAAATTTCTGTATTTAATATGCCCATAAATATGGTTTTTGAGTTTTTGAGTTTTTCTCCACAGGAAGAAGTCATTCGGCGAAAAATCCTGTGGTCTTTTCCTACTGTACCCCCAATAGCCGGGAGTCCACGTTTTTTCTTTTCTTCAACATGAAGAATATTCAAGTTATTGTTGTTTTCTTTCTGTTCAATTATTTTTGTCAACACTTCCATGTGCTTAATACTGCGCTTTTAATTTCAAACCTCTGCGTAGTTTAATCTTAAACTGTTGACTTATTCGGTTTGGGCTTTCCGAAGACTGAGCTGCTAACAAATCTAACACAGAGCTATTATTGTTACTACTATTGTTATTATGGTTTCCAGCAAAATTCCGTTTAAGAAGTTGCAAAAATTTTAATTATTTTATGCAAAATTACTCTATTTGGTACCTTCAAATTCTTGTAAACAAAATGTGACATCGAATCTGACAATGACAGAATCTTATATTTGTTGGTATTGTAATTGTAATTTTCTCTGGGCCGTATTATACAGGGTGGTCCGAACTGTATTCCGGAAACTTCGGCAGCATATTCTGCAGATAAAAGTAAGTAAAAAAGTTCGTATAAATGTCATACATTTATACGAACTTTTTTACTACTTTGAATAAAATACTTTGTTTCAGAGATACAGGGTGTAGAAGTTTCATTTTTATTTCGATTTTTTCTAAATAATTTCTGAAGTAACGTCAATATTTGGATAAAAATTGGTGTCTGGGAGTTTTATAACACGAGAAATTTGATTTTGATGTCAAAATGACTCCTATTAGTAGGGGGCGCCACCTACGTGCGTTTTGACTGTTATGAAGAGTAATAACTTTTCTCGTCCGTACCTGTATAAAACTACTGAGTAAAAAAATATACATTTACGACGTACATTTTTTACGTAAAAAATATCTCTTGGTAAAAATCGTTACGAGCAATCGTTCTCAAGATATTTAGAATGGAAATAGTCAATACATGTCATTATTGACAAAAAATAAGCACACGTTCAGTATAGTTATTTGACTGAAATAATAAATTTTTATTTTTTTAAATTAATCATAAATTTTTCTGCAAAAAAATGATGATTAAACAGTTTCTGTTGAACTTTTGGCACAAAAAAATCAAATTTATGGTTTCAGTCTAATAACTATTTAGTCGACATGTTTAATTTATGTCAATGATGACAGGTATTGATAATTTCAATTTCAAATATCTCGAGAACCATTACTCGTAGCGATTTTTACCAAGAGACCTTTTTAATGTAAAAAAAGTTGTAAATGTATATTAATATAATAGTTTTATACAGGTATGGACGTAAACTTATTACTCTTCAAACCAGTTAAAACATATGTAGGTGACGCCCTCTACAATTAGGAGCCATATTGACATCAAAATCAAATATCCCGTATCACAGAACTCCCAGACACCAATTTTTATCCAAATATTGTCGTTACTTCAGAAATTATTTGGAAAAAATCGAAATAAAAATGAAACTTCTACACCCTGTATCTCCGAAACTAAGCATTTTAGGACATACATTTATACGGACTTTTTACTTATTTTAATCTGCAGAATATGCTGCCGAAGTTTCCGGAATACAGTTCGGACCACCCTGTATATTTAACTGATTTGAAGGTAGATTTTTGCAAATAATTTTCTATCATGAAACTGACTATTTCAAATGAAACGAAATTTCTAGAGAGATCTAGAAAAAAGTACAACTTTAAGGCCTCTTCAAAAAAGTGTAATACAACTTTTGCATAAAATTATCTGGGCAGATAATATTTGACCTTTTCAAAATTTACATGGGATTTCCTATGTACCGTGTTCCGATGCACCACACGATATAATATGTTTATGTAAATAAAATCAGTTTAAAGGATATTTAAGATATAAGTTATAATAATTTTATTTAAAGTCCGTTTAAGTATGCCTTAAACTAATTTCATCGGTCATATTAAAGCAAATATTTAAAACTGAGAACTTAGAGTAGCATTCATACCTTCTTCATTTTCCGCTGATAATAGAATATTAGAAATTTATACGTACCAACGGAAAATAAAATTTAAGACTG